TTACTGCACTTTTTACACGAACACCTTAACTTATTTCCATCCATGAACTCATATTTACTACTAGCAAAGTCTAAAAATAGTTCCAACCCAAGACTGAAACTCATCGGTCAATCCTCGACGTCCGGGTAAGTTCTTATTATACATCCAAGCCCTGTCTCTTTGCATTGTGTCTCGTATTAAAATAAAAAATCTCGTAAAATATTTAAAATATCATATTTACTGTTCTTAATTAAAACCATAAAATTATGAAAATTAAAATTTTGTTTTTCACGCAATAATTACTTTGAAATTGAAAAAATTGAAAAAATTACCATGTAAAGAAGACTTACCCAAATATTTGACTGAAATCTTGGTAGCAGAAAGTGGTCAATTTGATGAGAATTGCAACGTTCACTTGGATTGCGAGACCTTCAAATGGACACGTACCTAAATAAAAGAAATATCACTTAACATTCATTTTTTAATAATTTTTTATTTTTTCCGAATTTTTTTAATTTTTTTTTCCCCTTACATTTTTCTCCGGTCCCCGGCGAGGCCGAGCGGCCTCGCCATGGCCGCAGGTCGACGGCCATGGGGGGAGGCCGAGCGGCCTCGCTGGCCATGGGGCGAGGCCGCTCGGCCTCGGCCGGATCTGGGGAGGCCGCGCGCCTCGCCATGGCCGCGGGTCGACCTCGCCCGATCCGGGCGACAACGAGGTCGACCGGCGGCCATGGCGAGGCCGCTCGGCCTCCCGATCTGGCCGAGGCCGAGCGGCCTCGCCCCAACCGCCGGCCGACCTCGTCGTGGCCTAGATCCGGGCGACGGCGAGGTCGACCGCCACACCCGGGCGAGGCCGCCGGCCGACCTCGCCGGCCATGGGCGAGGCCGCTCGGCCACCCGGATATGGGGGAGGCCGAGCGGCCTCGCCATGGCCGCCGGCTGACCCGCCGTCGCCCGATCCGGGCGACGGCGAGGTTGGGCAACCGCGAGGTCGACCGCCAGGGGGAGGCCGAGCGGCCTCGGCGGCCGCTCGGCCTCCCCCATGGCCGGCGAGATCTCGCCGGTGGCCAGTCGTCGAGAACTTACAAAAAAAAAAACAAAAAAATAGCCAATAAAAAAAAATTCCAATACAGCAATGAATAGTTTTGCGACGAACCGTATTCGTCGCCAATTAGTCACGAAATTAGCTACGATACTTATCGGTAGAAAAGCTTTACCGAGATTGATTTTTGCGCGCACGGATTATTGAGAGAAACGAAAGAGGGAGAAGGTGGGAGAAAAGCGGGAGATGTTAGGAATCAGTACAGAGAGAGAGAAATCATTCAGTCGGGTGGATATGACGAAAGTTTTTTCCGTCATAAATTACAAATTAGCGACGAATCCTTTTTCGTCGCAAAATCCGTCGGAAATTACGGACGAATTTTTTTTCCGTCGCAAATTAGCGATGGTAAAAATTAAAATCCGTTGCTACTTTCGTCGCAAAATGGTAAATATCGTTGCATAAATTAGAGACGGAAAATAAATCCGTCGCAAAATTCGTCGCCAATTTGCGACGGAATTATTTTCCGTCGCAAATTCCGTCGCAAAGTTTGTCGCAAATGAGAGACAAAAAATTCCCCGTCGCAAATTTCATGTTTTTTTGTAGTGTTTTCAAATGATGAGTTGAATTCTTTTTATTTGCGATTTGATTGCTATTATTATTTTAAAGGCAATAATTTCTTTTGAATTATGAAAATCGACTCGCGAGAGTTCGATATAGTGATCCAACGCTTGGTTTAGATGTAACACATCTCGTGCTCAAATTACGTTGTCCAAGAAGAGTCTTACCCAATGCCCGAGAATAAAAAATGAAATTACCTGAGCCACCGTCTTTTCTCTGGCGATGGCGATCTCCTTAAGCACATGACTCTCCATGACCGCCAACGAACCCCAAGAAGCTCCATTCGCGCCCAATGGAGACCACGCACTCACATGTATTCCTTTCTCTCTGCAGTACGCCCTCAGCTTCTCTTGTTGCCATCCCACATTCATCTCCACCTAAGTCATGATTAACCCACAAAGAAAAGAAACAAATCTTGAAGGAAATCTTGATTTGATATCTTATTCGACTCAAAGATTGAACTAGAATAATTGAATTTTCTTTTACCTGGTTAACAGCAGGAGGGATTGTGGCATGCATGAGGAGTTGAGAGCTTCTTGGTGCCAAAGTTGCTGACTCCAATGGACTTGGCCAGCCCCAGCTTGGAGCACTCTTCCATAGCCTCCCATGTGCCCTTGATGTCAAATGGAAGCATTTTGCCTTTCAAATCGAGCCACCCTTCCGTTCCTTCCTTCACTCTTATTGGCCAGTGGATTATATACAGATCCACATACTCTAACCCTAGCCTCCTATTCAAATGAATAATCCACCAGGTGCCAAAAAGAACAGAAAGAAACTCGAACACATCATGACTAAAACCCAAAAAAGAGCGAAAAAACAGTATAGATTGGTAAAAGCTAATATACCAAAGTGAAACTATAATGTTTATCGGGACTGTTTTTCTATGGAAGAAATTCTTGTGTGGTATTTAAGATTAATTGCTGACGTAGCGGCGATTAGAACTGTATATGGTGTCGTGCAGTAAAACAAACAGGGGGAGATCAGAAGGCAAATTATCAAATATTTACTGTAGAGACTTCTTGAGAGCGGGAAGAACAAGACCCGGATGAGCGTCGGTGCACCAGAGCTTGGTGGTGATGAAGATATCGCCGCGGCTCTTGACGAGCCCGCGTTCCAGGGCCTCGGTCACGGCCCGGCTGAGCGCCTCTTCGGAGCCATAGCATGCCACTATGTCGAAGTGGCGGTACCCGGCTTCAACTGCCTCAAGGAATATGGATGTCAGCACGTCGAGCGGTGGCAGAGGGCTCGCTGCCCCGCCCATCCCGATCAGTGGCATCCCCTCGCCCGTGTTCAGCACCACTTCGGGGACCGCGACGTCGCACATCGGTGTTTTGTGTTCTCTGTGAGCGAGAGAGAGATGGGGGGGGGGGGTGGTTGGAAATCTAGTGATGGAAGATGTTGAAGTTCGACGGTTTTAGGAAACGGAATGCTTATATTTATATCGAGCGGAAGAAGATGAAATCAAGCATAACAAAGTGGAAAGTTTTTTCAACAAGTAAATGACTGTGAGCAAGTACTAATTATCATGCATGCATCAATGGGGAGGTCATCTCATTTATGCAAGGCAGAATCCTTGCGCAACATACCCAACCAAAAGGGTCGCTCGCACCTATGACAAGTTAGAGACAATTTTAGAAGAAAAGATAGAAAATTCAAAATTAATTTACTAAGTGATGCGAAAGATTAATATTAGACATGAACACGGTAGATTTGTTTAACATTTGCTTATAGTCTATCACGTGGGGGGCATAAAAGAAGGTGAAAACGGTTTGAGACACGACAGCTTCTGCCATTATGCGGTCTCCCATGTGTCAAATCCAGATTTTAGTCCATAAACTTTCACAAGGTAATTACATAATGTCAACATAGGCAATCCAAATGTAATCCGGAATATACCCATAATTAATTACGTGAGAAATTAAAATCGTAAAGGTTTACGACTAAATCGGAAAAATTACAAAATTTAAGATCGAATTGACATCCGTATAGTACGTTTATGACTAATTGGACAATTTACCCGAGGAGATTGTGATAGTGAAAATACAAGGTTGAGGACATATGGATTTGCTACATGGAAATTGCAAATTAACGTTGCAATTATTGGATCAACATCAGTTGCAAGAGATCATCAAAGTCAAAGAGTGTGTGATACTTTATCATCATATATAAATCATCCGATGCATGATCTAACTCAAGGGATCATTATCCAAGAGCTCATTCATTGACCGGTAAGGCCGATTCTCAGAAATAAAATATCAGCCAAATATCCTCTTATCTATGGGATTTGAAGCTTGATCTTGCCCGAATCCTCTTGGCTAAGTCCCAAGATTTGCAGGTTCTCTTACATTCTCTCTTTGTTGAAGCTCCACTATCACGCTTCCCTCATGCATAAGTGTATTAATTATACAAAATTTAAAGAAACGGAAGAAAAAATCATGCGATTTATGAGATTAGTTGACTATATTTAATTAATGGGCTTCCTATGACCAAAATTTTTTGGTCCCTTTAATGCACGCAAGCAGACAAAAACAGAGAGATTGGGAGGTGCTTTGCGATGAAAAGTTTAGTCTTATTTGGATAGGGTCTAGTCATGCCGACAATAAATGAAACATGAAGATGACAAACAACGGAGAAAGAAAGGTAAAGCAAAGTCCAAAGAGCCTTTTAGTATTGGGAAGTTGAAAAGGAAAAACAGCTCTTTAAGTTGATTTCAAGTAATTGACATTGGTTAGAAACTTCAATTTTTGAAAATTGAAGTTTAATAATATCTGCCATCAATAATCAAAGTAATAGACGAAGTGCTGAAATTAGAGGTGGCAAACCGGTTGGCCGGATGGGTACAAAACTATACATAGAGTAAAGCAAATAGGAAATATAATTGTTGTAGATTGCACCACCAGCGAGCGACATTGCTGGTACTATCACCGACGGCGTCGCTTGACATATCTAGATTCGAACCGCCTTGTGTACATTATTACATCATCGGCAAGAGAGATCATCATAGAGTTACATTTGACCATCCTATATAAATTATAAATGTGTGATCCGAATTCAAGAATCACCAACGAGCTCAGATTGGAGGTTCTCGACCTCGAGTGACATCAATTAGAAATTGAGGTCCACCCGAGGTTGCAACCACCATTGCAAAGTTGTAGAGGAGAAGGGACGCTAGTGGGGGCTCACGGTGGCGATTGCGGCTCAATGGCTCGGTGATGACGACTCGTGGGCTCGGTGGCGGCATCCATAGTTAAAGGAAAATTCCAAACTAAGCTTGCGACCTAAAATGAAAAAAAAAAAGACTTTCCTTCTGTTTACAAGATGTGTCGTCATGCTTGCTTTTAGCACCATCTATCCAGAAATATAAGTCCAAAAGAAGAGATTGTGATAATGAAAACACAAGGTTCAATTCATATAGATTGATTACCATTGACAAGAGATCATCTTAGAGTTACCCTTGATCATATAAACTACAAAATGTAGGTATTCAAGCATCACCATCCCAAAGCTCATCCAATGATTTGTAAGGCCCATCCTCAGAAATGAACGTGTAACAAGGACATCCTCTTTTCTGTGGAATCTGAAGCTTGATCTTGTCCGAATCTTCCTGGCTAAGTCCCCAATCCAAGATATGCAGGTTCTCTTTCATTCTCTCTTTGTTGAAGCTCTTCACTATCGCGCTTGCCCCTCGCTCGTATATCCACCTCAATGCAACCTATCATACACAATATTAGAGATACAGAAGATTGAATCATGTGATTTATGAGATTACCGGAGCATTTTTCATGGGGATAATTATAAAAAAAATTATAAATTTATTATACGGATGTCAATTTAGTCCCAAACTTTTCAATTTAGCCAATTTAATCCTAAACCTTTTGAAGATTTGCCAATGTAGTCGTTACGGTCAATTTTGGTCGATAATTGCCGACGCGGAGGCTCGCCGGCCATTCTACATGGCATGGCCGGCACTTAAGTGGATAATTTTTTGAATTAATTTCATTTTTCTGAAACTTTTTAATAAATTTTATAAGTTTTTCTTATTTTCCTTCTTCCTCCACCGTTCGGCGATCGGCCATAGGCGTGGGCCGACCTTGCCAGTGTTGCCTGCCTTGCCAGAGGCCGACGAGGTCAGGCTTCGTTTGAAGGATAGCGAGGGTCGACCTTGCTAGCTTCTGGCTAGGGTTAAGGTCAGCCTCGCAGTCAACCATTGCCAAGGCCTAGCGACCAAAGAAGGAAAAAACAAGAAATAAAAGAAAAAGAAAATAAAATAAAGAAATTTTTTTATAAAAACTTTAGAAAATTTGAAAAAATTCTAAAAAATTGTCTAAATCAGCGCTGGTGGTGCCATATAGGATGGGTGGCGTCCACGTCAATGATTGGCAACCAAAATTTACCGGAAGGACTATATTAGCTAACCGTCAAAAGGTTTAGGACTCCGTTGAACAAATAAAAAGGTTTAGGAATGAATTAACATACAATAGCTTTAACACTCTTTTGGTAATTCTCCCATTTTTCATGGACTAGGATTTCTATATTTAGGTAAGCTTTTTCATCAAAACTAAATAATGATTAAAGTGAAACCCCAATGGTTTGATTTAAGTTTTTGTTCCTTTAATGCACTTCTATATATATAGAGATATGTGTGTCATATCACTAGTATCAGACTTATATATTAAAATAGGATATTGTCACGCTGACAAAATCCATCAACTTTAATTACTATCCAAAATCTACGAACAGCAACTGCCGCCAATGTTATTAATTAGTAGAAGATTTGCTCTAATTACGATTGCTTTCGGATCGCACTCAAATATTTAGGTCCAAAAAAACGTAAGAGCAAGACCACACATATCTAGAATCACAAGACGATTTGCGTTGTGAGGCTGCTGAAGAAGCCGTACACAAAACCTATTATCTCTTTATGGTTTTGACTTAGACACCCACACAAACTTCCAATACTTAGATAGACCAATTGACAAGGACGGGCACGGAGGAAAATAGTACACATTGCCTTCTCATGTAATGTAATAAGCAAATGCAATTTCTTCTCCCATTTACTTAGACAACCAGAGGAGGAAATTTCTAAACTAAAAGCTTCTTTTCAAATGACACATTGTTTCTTTCTTCTCCAAATTTAGTTACCTCGTAAAGAGTTGTATCCAAATGCGTTTTACTGTAATTTATGGTAGTTTTCAAATGAACGGTTGAAATCCATTTTTTTGGGATTTGATTGCTATTAATAATTTGAGACAATAATTTCATTTGATATCGTGAAAATAGACTCCCGAGGGTTCGATATTAGTGGCCAGGTGCTTGGTTTAAATGCAACAAATCTCGTACTCAAATTACAGTGCTTTCTACTTAGAAAAACCGTAGGATTCATGCCTACTTCCCTCTAAGTAGAGTCTTACCCAATGCACGGAGATAGAAAATGAAATTACCTGGGCCACCGTCTTTCCTCTAGCGATGGCGATCTCCTTGAGCACAGGACTCTCCACAACCGCTAATGAACCCCACGAAGCTCCATTCGCGCCCAATGGAGACCACGCACTCACATGTATTCCCTTCTCTCTGCAGTACGCCCTTAGCTTCTCTTGTTGCCATCCCACATTCATCTCCACCTAAACATGATGAACCCACAAAGGAAAAAAGAAGAAGCAAATCTTGATTTGAGATCTTATTCGACTCAAAGATCAAACTCGAATAATTTAATTTTCTTTCACCTGGTTAACAGCAGGAGGAATTGCGGCATGCATGAGGATTTGAGAGAGCTTCTTTGCGCCAAAGTTGCTGACTCCAATGGACTTGGCCAACCCCAGCTTGGAGCACTCTTCCATGGCCTCCCATGTCCCTTTCATGTCAAATGGCAAAATTTTGCCCTTGATATCAAACCAACCCTCATTTCCTTCCTTCAATCTCGCTGGGAAGTGGATTAGATACAGATCCACATACTCTAACCCCAGCCTCCTATTTAAATAAATAATCCACCGGGTGCCAAAAAACGAAGAGAAAGAAACATGAACACAGCATGACTAAAACCCAAAGTAGAGCGGAAAAATAATATAGAGGAAAGATTAGAAAAAGTTAATGCACGAAACTGATAATTATATACCAAAGTGACAACTAATGTTTATCGGGTCTGTCTCTCCACGGAAGAAATTCGTGTATGGTTTTTAAAGTTAATTGCGAATCAGCGGTGATTAGAACTGTATAAGGTGTCGTGCAGTAAAACAAACAGGAGGAGATCAGAAGGCAAATTATGAAATATTTACTGGAGAGACTTCTTGAGAGCGGGAAGAACAAGACCCGGATGAGCGTCAGTGCACCAGAGCTTGGTGGTGATGAAGATGTCGCTGCGAATCTTGACGAGCCCGCGTTCCAGAGCCTTGGCTATGGCCCGGCCGAGCGCCTCTTCGGAGCCGTAGGATGCAGCCGTGTCAAAGTGGCGGTACCCCGCTTCGATTGCCTCAAGGAATATGGATGTCAGCACGTCGAGCGGTGGCAGAGGGCTCGCTGCCCCGCCCATCCCGATCAGCGGCATCCTCTCGCCTGTGCTCAGCACCACTTCGGGGACCACGACATCGCACATTGGTGTTTTGTGTTCTGAGAGAGAGAGAGAGAGAGAGAGAGAGAGAGAGAGAGAGAGAGAGAGAGAGAGAGAGAGAGAGAGATGGAAATCTAGCGATGGAAGATGTTGAAGTTTGGCGGTTTTAGGAGTCGGAATGCTTATATTTATTACGAGCGGAAGAAGATGAAATCAACCATAATGAAGTGGAAAGTCTTCTCAACTAGGGGTGGGCATGGTTTCGGGATTGAATTGAAAACTGGACTGTTATACAAGGTAAGTTCCAGGTTTCAAAAATTGGGAAACCCGTTCCGATGTATAACCTAGAATCTAACAAGTCTTTGTGTTTTTCTTGTTCTTTGTCTTCGCGCAATCTTGTGGTATTCCATAGCGTTCGACGATAAATGTGTAATTTGGGCTTCCATTTCCGGCAATATCAATGATTGATACTTTTACATTTTTAATGTTTTATGTTTTTTATGTGTTTAAATATAAGTTATAATTAGTAAATTGTAGCAGCAAATGGTAGTCACTAGAGGTGATGATTCACTACAATCATCCAATTATGAATATAAATAGAATCTAGGTAGATCTTGGAACCAGCATCATGGTAGGTTCCAGGTTCTAGGATGTGTAGGTAAGTTCTAGATTTCAAAAAATGAGGAACCTGTTCCGACGAGTAGATTCTAAATTCCAGGTAAAACTTATAAAAAATCTGAAATCGCTCACTCCTATTCTCAACAAGTAATTCACCGTGAGCAAGCAATAATTATCACGAATGCATCAACGTGGAGCTCATCTCATTTATGCAAGACAGAATCTTTGCATAACATACAAAACCAAAAGGGTTGCTCACACCTATGACAACTAAGAGATAATCTTAAAAGGACGATAAAAATTTCAAAATTAGTTTACTAAGCAATCGGAAAGATTGACATTAGATATCGAGCGGTTTGAGACGTGACGGTTTATCTTGGCAATTGCCAATCTTGTTTTCTTCTGCCAAAATGCGGTCTCCCATATGTCAAATGTAACAGTCTGAATTTTCGATCCTTTTCCCGGTATTTAGGAAATGAATTTGATCAATGCACTTATAGTGAGATCTCACCCGGAAATGCGCATTCACGGGATGCTAACCTTAGGGGTAGGGCTATTACGGGATTGAGTTCGCACGACCAAAGAACTCGACCTAGGTTCGATCTTCGACCATATCGATTGACGAGGGAATGTTTTGAGCCAACCGAGACTGATCTATTTGATTGATCGTGTCCAAAGGGCACTAGTGACAGATCCTCGCAATTATATGACAATCGAGGTCGCCTTGGTTCGAGCAAATTTAAACGTGATTTGACTTAGTGTCGGTCACGGGTTGAGAGCGCGTAATCCCAATAAGCCACCCGTTAGCAAGAGATAAGTTAAAGTCGCGATTGTTCGATTTTAGTCATTTCTTGGAATTTAGGCTCGGGAATCGAGAATTTTGAAAGTGACAATTTTGGACGGCCGATGACGTTTTTGGCTTGGCCAACCTTGGGGCCACCCATTTCTGCAAAAAAATGGATTTCGGTCCGGGGCCGGAAAAATTACGGTTTTGCCCCTGTGGGCACCGAGGCTGGATTCGGAGGCCGTTTGAGGTTATTTTTCGCGGCCAAGGTCATTTTGGGGTGGCCACGCACATTCAGAGTGGTTTTGGCCAAAAATTGGAATTTCGACAAAAATTGAAAAAATAATATTATTTTATTCCCGAAACTTTGACGTGGATTTTCGAGGGCTTGCGTGATGAATTTCGCGATTCCGACGCCATATTATGTTGGCCACGCACATATGGAACGCGTATGTGCGAAAATTGAAATTTCGGTTCGGGATCGGAAAATTACGAAAATGCCCCTAGGCCATTTTTGGACAATTCCGAATTTAGAAAATTTTTGGGGTTCTAACCAAGGTGAGTTAACTTAATTCAGGTCTGGTCAGCCCTTGGTTAGGGACAAAGGACCATTTTAACCCTAAATTATTGGATGAGAATGAAAGATAGCCATTGGATCAAGGGCAGAATTGTCCAATTGGCCTAGATTGAGACACATGGATTCCACTCACACCATCTTTGACCCATTTGACCAGACCCTCTCTCTCTACAGCAGACCATTCGGCCATTTCCCTCGCAGATTTCCTCTTCTTTTCCTGTTTCTGTTCTGTTTTGCACGTTTCTGCATTTTCTGGTACTGTTCACGCCGGAACAGTACCAGCCGGAGCTGCTGGCCGCCCACCAGCCGTCGCCACAGCACCCTTGGACCTCCCTCTCACTGCTCGGCCACCACGCCCGGTTTAAGTCCGTAACATCCCTCTCTCTCTCTTTTTCTCTCTTCCCGTTCAGTAAACAAGATCACGGAAGCCACGGAGTCCGATCGCCGTTCCGTCGACACCCAGCCATCCAGCACGTCCATACGTCGCCGCCCAGCACCGTCCGTACAGTGTCCGTACGGGTACCGTTCACCGTCCGTACTGATCACTGTTCACGCCGGACCGTACGGACGCCGCGGCTGTCACCGGCACCTCGCCGGCCACCGTCCCAGCCCTGTCTGTATGGTGTCCGTACGAAAGTACTGTTCACGCCGTCCGTACGTCGCTGGCGACGCTGCTGCCGCTGTCCCGGCCCGTTCCAGCCCCGTTCTGTCTTGCCTTTTTGGGTAAGTGTCTCCCCCAAAAACTACCTAGGAGCTCGGGTATTTCTAGACTCGTTTAGGACCCGGTTTAGGCGATTTTGTGACTGTTTTAGGGGCTGTTCGGGACTGATTTGAGTGACTGATTATTTGGTGGTTGCGGACTGATTAGGCGAAGAATTTTGAGATTTAGGGAGCTTGGATTAGGGCTGTGATGTTGAGGTTTGATCGGAATTAATTTGTGCGATTAATTATTGGGATTGTGCCTTGAATGGAAATTTGTGCGTGATTGTGCGATTTGTGGTAGTTGGCTGATTTGGGATTGTGTTTCGGGTTGTGTACGTGTGGTCGTATATGTCATGTGTGTGGCCGTGAGGTGTGATGGTGTGGCAGTGCGATTGCGCAATATGTTCGCGTGCCAAGAATGTGTGATAGTGCTTCGGGATCGCGTGTTATATGTGTACGATTGTGTGGTGTGCTGGTGTGGTGAGAATGTATATTTGCAAAGTGTATGTGAATTGTGAAATGTGCATGCAATGTGGAATTGTGTTTGGCCGTGCGAGTACTGGTCGTGCGTAAGTGTGGTTTGAGTGGAACGAGGATATGGAAATGTGGTTTGGTTGGAAAGGTCCGTCCTGAGGCGTGTACGTTACGCGGGACGATGCCGTCCCTGACGAGGTGACGATGCCCGGCCTGACGAGGTGTCAATGCCTGACGTGGTCAGAAGACCGTTGGTCTGATGCGTTTTACGCGGGCGCGGTAGAAGGAAAGTGTGTGTAGGATTCCGTCCTGAGGCGTGTACGTTTACGCGGGACGATGCCGTCCCTGACGAGGTGACGATGCCCGGCCCGACGGGGTGACGATGCCTGACGAGGTCAGAAGACCGTTGGCCTGATGCGTTTTACGCGGACGCGGTAGTGGTGGAAAGGTTGAAAATGAGTGGGATTTGGCAAGACAAGCGAGAGGATTGTGGAAAGTGACGCATGGTGTGAGTAGCGTGCGAGTGTGTTTGTATTGCGCGATGTGATGCTTAATTATGGGGTAGAAACTGCTAGGCACGGTATGGGACGTGCCCAAGTGGTTTCTGTCTTATAATTGAGGCACGCGCGCGTCTGTGATTCCTTGCTGTGATGTGTTGGCTGTGTTATTGTCTAACGTGCAGGAACGTGCGTGATGGATTCCAGGTAGGGTCGCATGTGATTGTTAGTTTGGCCGATCGTTGTGTGTTATGGGTGTTTTCGTCTGGCGGTACGTGAGTGCCTACGTGGGGTTTGGGGTTGTACACTTATTGAGATTCGTCTCACGGTTGTATAACCGCCACTTTCAGACCCCCGGCCCTAAACCCGGGAAGTGCGCCTTTTCTTTTTGGAAGTCCGGGGAGCTGCTGTTGGTGCCCAGTGGAGCTGCAGGTGAGTTCCAGAGATTCAAGCCAGAAATTCAGAAGCAGAATGGAAGAGGGCGACCCTTAGGTTTTTCCCTAGGGTGTTTTAGGGGTTGTATAACTTGGGTTATCCGATAGTGAAGTTAAGATAACCAAACCCCTGAACTTTTGTTTAAACGGTGACTGAGGATGAAAGTCTGTATTTACGTCTGTAATATGATGTTTGTATATTTGGTGTTGTATGAATATGTGGTTGCTGAATTGTTCTGTTGTTCTACCCCGTTGTCGTCATTATTTGTCCGGGGTTTTGTTATTCGCTTCCGCATGTGGCTCTGATGTTTAGGTTGGGTCGGCGACGTTCCTGGGACGTCGTATCATTTCGACCGGAGCAGGGGATATCGCGAGCTCGTTGGGGTTCGGGGTGTGACATCAAATCTAGATTTTAGTCCATAAACTTTCACGAGGTAATTATATAATGCCCTGTTAGGCAATCCAAATGTAATCCCGAATATACCTGGAATTAATTATGCGAGAAATTGATGCTGGTAATAATGAGAGCTAGAGATCATAATCACAGGTTTGTGCAGAGTCAAATTGGCTGTGCAAAGAATTTTAGCGGGGTCAAAAAAAGAAAAGAAAGAGAAAACAATCATTGAGGTCGAATGGATACGTGCTTAAAAAATTAAGGTTATAAGTGAAAATTTTATGAAGTTGCAGTTTGGATTTTCTATCAGGTTTTGAGGGCTATTTTTTTCTTTCCATCATGGTTGAAGGCAATTTCCTCTCATCTACATCGTGCCGTTCGTCCACTTCCAAAAGTATTGATACCCAATAAAATTTAATGTACTTACCAACAACAGCAACAAGGATGGTCCATGAGATTGTGGCACGACATATATCGATCTCAAGAATGGTCCACCGGCATTGATTCTCCTCGGTGGTTTGCATCTCGATTTGAATTATGCGCAATGATTCGAAAATTTATCTGTCAGACTTCATTTCAAATTCAAAGAAGATTCAGATCCTACAACGAAATTCGTATAGTTATTGTCAAACTTACTCTTGAAAAAACCTTGTTTAGCTGAT